TGAGCCACAAACCCAGTCCCTTATACATTTTGATTTTAGTTTAGTGCATTGTGAAAGATAGGGTTCAAGCTTTTTGGGGGTAATGTATTTAGTATATACAGGGTCCACAGGGTGTCACTACACAGATTGGGTTTATAGTGATCCTTCTGTTTTCAGCCTCCTCAGTGCTGGGATTACGGGTGTGCACCACCATGCCTGCTCTCGGTGGCCACCCAGGGGTAAGGCCATCTTGGCTTGTGGTGCCTGGGATTGAACCCTGGTCACTTAACTTGCCCAAGCAGGTCCACTGAGCTATCTCACTGGCCCTGGTTCTAGTTTTAATCTTTGGCATATACAAAGTCAGTTTTCCCAGCACCATTTAATAAAGAGGCAATCATTCTTCCAGTGAAGGTGTTTGGCTCCTTTGTCAAAGATAAGGTAGCTGAATGTGTTTGGAGTTGTTTCTGCGCCTTCTAATTTGTTCCATTGATCCCTAGGTCTGCTTTTTACCAGTACCATGCTGTTTTTGATCACAGTAGCTCTGTAGTATAACATCAAGTCAGGGATTGTGATGCCCCTGACTTGCCTTTGTTGCCCAGAATTGCTTTTTGGTATTTAGGTTTGTATTTCCAAATGAATTTTAAAATTGTTTTCTCAAATTCTGTAAGATGTTGTTGGAAGTATGGCCATTTTTGCTATATTAGTTCTTCCTACTGAAGAGCAAGGAATCTTTCTCTTTTTTTGGACATAGGGTCTCACTGTAGTGTAGATTGGCCTTGAATATATGTGGATTTTTCTGCCTCAGCCTCTAAGTACTGGGATTACAGATGTGCGCTACCACTTCTGTCTCCATTTTTTAATATCCTCTTCAGTCTCTTTTTATGGCCAGTGAGATAGTGGGTGCCATGGTGGGGCATGCCTGTAATCCCAGCACTGGGGAGACTGAAAACAGGAAGATCATCACTTCGAGTCCAAGCTGCTTAGTGAGACCCTGTACCAAACACATTTAAAAAGAAAAGAAAGAAATCCTTTTTGTATGAGTACTGTAGTTACCTCACTGGCACTAATTAATCTATTTCATTAGATTAATTCCTAGGTATTTCAGTTTTTTTGGCGCTATTTT